TTAAAAAATAGTGCCACTTTGATTGTGTATGTCTATATGTGTGTATCTGTATATACAGTCGGTTTCTCAAATTGATTAGGTCAAAAGGTGTGGATTTTTTTTTTTCCAGTGGCATTGTCAAATTGCACTCTCACCAACGATACAAAAAAGTACTTCTATATCTCTAAACCCTTGCCAGCATTTAGTATTATTATTTACTTTTACGTCATTCCTAGTTAGTATATACAAATGGCATTGTATTTTTATGTGTCTTTAATTGCATTGTCAGTATGTTTTTGTATACTTACTATCCGTTTCTTTTTCTTAGGAAAATAAAATTCGGCTTTATCTTGCAAGTCTCATGTTTCCCAGGGAGAAAGGGCCTATTCCTATGTACTGTGTAAATTATGTACCTTGCAAAAGAGTTCCTTGGGCAATAGTCTCCTCCCTATCCTCTCCAGTGTGTGCCCAGTCATCCAGCAAAGCTTTGGTAATTGGAAACCTTAAGGGGTTTTGAACAGAAAAACCAATTAGACTTGCCTGAAGAATAATGGTGCAAAGGCTGGAAACAAGGAAAACAGTTAGAAACCTACTGAAATAAGACAGGCAAAAAAAGATAATGAGGGCTTTGCATTAAGACAGTGAATAGTGGGTACTGAGAAGAGGAAATGGATTTGAAAGATACTCAGATTACCTTGTTTAGAAAATTATGGACATAAAGACATATTCTACATGAATTCAGAAGGGTTTGGGCAAAGGTATAATATGTCTCTCAGTTCATTGTTTCAGATGAAGAGGGAAAATGTATTTAAGCTAAAAAGTGATTTCATTGATAGAGAATTTTTTTAAAATATTATGATTCATCAGTCACAGTGGTGTGTACCTGTCTGCAGTACCAGCTATGAGGGAGTATGACTTGAGACCAGGAGTTTGAGGCCATCCTGGACAACATAGTAAGACCCTGCCTCTTGAAAAGAAAGGCAAAACAAGCATAGAATTGATGGTAAACCTGTTTTATTCTAGGCATAATATTCATAAACATGTTAATTGGAAAAATAAATGATTAGTCTCATTGAGTTACACCTCCAATAAAGTTTAAAATAATAGGCTGAGTGCGGTGGCTCATGCCAATAATCCCAGCACTTTAGGAGGCTGAGGCAGGCAGATCATGAGACCACCTCAGTCAAGAGGTTAAGACCATCCTGGCCAACATAATGAAACCCTGTCTCTACTAAAAATACAAAAATTAGCTGGGCGTGGTGGCACGTGCCTGTAATCCCAGCTGCTAGAGACTGAGGCAGGAGAATTACTTGAACCCGGGAGGCAGAGGTTTCAGTGAGCTGAAATCACGCCACAGCAGTGTAACCTGGGTGATAGAATGAGACTTCATCTCAAAAAATAAAAATAAGTAAATTAAAAATTTTAAATATAAAATGATTCTATATCAAAAGTAAGGGAGAAAGTATATAGTACATTGATTTTAAAATTAACTATATAAAAGTAAGCTTACAAAATTGGAAAAGTACTCATATCATCAAAGAGTATTAACATTTATTTCCTTCTAACTCTTTATCTTTTTATGACTATTTCCTACATTGTGTATTATTCACAAACCTAATTTCAAATGACCACACCATATTCACTTTATAGGCATATCATAATTTACTTCATCATTCCCTTATTATGTCATGTTTAAGTTGTTTCTTTCTTTTTACTATTAAAAATAGTTCTCTACCTAGAGGAAAAGAAGGCATTTTATGAAAATAATACTTGCATATGCATGTTTGTAGCAGCACAATTTGCAATAACAAAAATATGGAACCAGCCCAAATACCCATAAATCAACAAGTGGATAAAGAAAATGCTCATCACTCAATGAATTAATAAAGAAACACACATGCACACATACGCACACACACACACACACACACAGTGGAATACTACTCAGCCATAAAAAGGAGAGAAATAATGGCACTCGCAGCAACCTGGATGGACTTGGAAACTATTATTCTAAGTGAAGCAATTGAAGAATGGGAAACCAAACATCATAGGTTCTCACTCATTCTCACTCATACGTGGGATGCAAAGGCATGAGAATGATACATTGGACTTTGGGGACTTGGGAAAGGGTGAGAGTGGTGAGAGATAAAAGACTACACTTTGGGTATAGTGTACACTGATTGGGTGTGCACCAAAAATCTCAGAAATCACTGCTAACGAACTTATTCATGTGACCAATCATCACCTGTTCCCCCAAAAAACTAATGAAATAAATTTAAAAACTTAAAAACAACAACAAATAATACTTCTGAGAAAAATACTTTGTGCCTAAAGCTTCTTCCATGTTAGTATTTCCTTTTCTTTGCCAGATTCAAGAAGTGGTGAAAATGCATGAATGTTTTGCTTTCCAGAAAGAGTTGTTCCAGATTTTACTTCTGTGTGTGTAGAATTAGCAATGAATGAGAATGCCTGTTTCCTTATCAACACTTTTTAAAAAACTTGTAAGTTTAATATGCAGTGAAACTTTTAACTTGCCCAAAGAGATAATTAGGTAGTCGGAAAATAATTTTTTCTAGTTTAGGATTCTCTAAAATGTTAATTTGATTCTTATAATTCCTGAATAACATGTACTTCGTTGTAGATTTTATACTTTGCATTTTCAAACAGTCCTTAGTTTACCATATCAGACATGTGAAAGATGCTTTGCTTATTTGAGACCCGTTTAGATATGTAGCTATAAATTCAGCATGCCATATAAACTATTTCTGCTTAATAGGTTAATTCCAAGTATTTTGGTAAACATTTAAAAGTCATTTCTTACTCAAATATTACAGTTTAATGAAGCAGCAAATGCTTGTGATATTTTCTTAAAAAATGTACTTACATTTAAAGTAAAATGTGTTAATGCTTAATTTACAGGATATAAATAGAAATAACCCAACTCAGTACAGCTAAACACTCAGTTGGTTCATCTACAGATTTTTAAAGTCAGCTTTAATTTATAATTCTAACATGACTTCTCAGTTATTATAATTTAGTAAAAGATAACCTAATTCAAAACAAGTCACAATTAGAAGCAATATCTTACAATTAACACTGATACTGGTACAACTTATGCTTGTTTATAGTTTTTAATTCCTTCAGTATTATGACACTGAGATTGTCAATGCAGACATTATATTCAACTTATAATAAAAGGAAATTGTACACTTATAATCCCAGCACTTTGGGAGGCTGAGGTGGGTGGATCACTTGAGGTCAGGAGTTCGAGACCAGTCTGGCCAACATGGTGACGCCCTGTTGCTACTAAAAATACAAAAATTAGCCAGGCATGGTGGCACACATCTGTAGTTCTAGCTACTTGGGAGGCTGAAGCAGGAGAATCGCTTGAACCTCCAATGGGGAGGTTGCAGTGAGCCAAGATTGCATCACTGCACTATAGCCTGTGTGACAACAGCAAGACTCCATCTCAAGAAAAAAACAACAAAAAAAAATTGTGACTTAGAGAAGCTACCAAAGTAAGACAAGATTCTAACTTCAGTCTTTTCTCACCCATTTTTTTCTCCCAGTATTTTTTCTATTCAATTTACTTATGATTTTTCACAATTATTTGAGCCATTTATTTTCAGAAATCTCTGGAACAGATAAATACATTTCCTGAAGGTTTCTACTCTTCCCAGTTTTGATTATGTATTTTGAAAGAATGTTTACTGGATATCAGTGTTTAGCCAACATTTTCCCAATATTTTATCAGTAACTGTCACAACACATTGGGACAGCTGTTACGAAAATTGGGTAAAAATAGCAGCCAGTTTTGACATAGTTTTAAGTCACAGCAGATTATCAGAAATATTTTTAATAGTTTAATTGCCTACTCCTTGATACAGTAACAACTTTTAGTTTTAGGAGCATTTTCCGTTGTATTGTTATCTCGTTAGATTCTTATGATAACTCGTGTCATAAAATAGCATTGGTATTACATTTATTTTGTAATTGAGAGAATTGAATGCCAAAGGAATTAAATGGGACAAGGCTATTTTTTTGTGGAGCAAAAACTAAAACTTGCATTTATAAATGTAAAATATCTCAGTCGTTTTTGAATTTTATTTGTTAATTTTGAATGTAGCACCAAAAAAATCTTTTTAAAGAAAAGTTTATGGAAGGTTTGAACCCTTAAAATTGTTAGCCCTATAGTGATTGCTCTGAATTATTTTAGAATAAGCCAGTGAAAGTATTTCAGCCACTTGTACTTGGGTATCACATTTTTTTTCTTAAATAATTATTCAGTGATGGGAATAGTAATATCCCATTTCTTTAAAAAATTAAATGAAACAAAGCCTTTCCAGGACTTCATGTTTTGTAGTGTGCTAAATTTTACTTGACATTTATTTTATAGAAATTATTGTTTATGACATTTTAAAAGCATGTCTTGAGTATCATTTATTGAGCATATCTCCCAACCTAAGTCTAATAAGAGTGCATGATTTAAATCCTGTGCAATCAGCAAGTTTAGGTGAATTTATTCATTCACTCATTCAACACGGTAATAGACTACTATTATCTTCTGACTTTTGACTCAATGTATCAATTGCACAGTACTTGGAGCATATTTTTTTAAACTTGCAAAATAAAACATAGATTTGTGTTTTCCTTCCTAATAATTTTTGCTTTTTCTATGCACATTTATCACTTTTATTATAGTTAAAAGCATTATTATAATTAGATAGCTCTTCTACATGACATGGTTAGCCTTTTAGTTCTTCATGTTATTTTTAATAAGAAAGCCCATTTTTCTCCCAAGTTGAATCTTTCCAAAAGTTCATATTACTGTATTTTGACATAGCTTTCTAGTCATGTACATTTGAGTTTTGGGAATTGCCCTTCATAGCAATGTCAATGATAAATACTTATTGACTTGATAAGTACTTGTTAGAGTGAAAGTATCTTATTTCGTGGTGGTGGTGGTGGTGGTGGTGGTTTTTTATTCTGGCAACTAATGAGTTGAGGGTTGTTCCCAATAGGCAACTGAAGAGGATTCTTCCAGTTCTCTAGTGAAGGATCACCTTTTTCAGCAAGAGACAGTTGTTACCAGTGAGCCTTATAGAATCTCAAATACAAGACCTTCTCCCTTTGAAGATCTGAATGCCAGAAGAGTCTACATGCAAAGCCAAGCCAATCAGGTAAGAAGATAAAATATTTTTTCAGCATGTTGTTTGTATGTGTAGAAATGGGATGATGTCTTAGGTAAGGACATTAAATCATCTGCCCTTTACCAGACACAGTAAACCAAAACTACACCAAAACTAAACAAAATAAAAATACAAAACCAGGAGAATTTGATTTGTAATGAATCAAATCCAGAGTGAAGCAATAAACATGTATACCATAAAGTCCTATACGGGTATAGTGATTGAGCCATAAATTTGACTTTACAGTTTTTGGTGGCAAAGGTGACAAAGGAAACGTGTTAGTTACATTTTCATTATCCAGAAGGAAGAAGTACTCTATCCTCTTGAGAAATAGAAGTTTCCCTAGCATTACTCAATAATAAACTTCTTAGACCAGAGTTACTATTTTAAAATCCCTCTACAAATACATATGTGGCAAATACATTTATATATTTCATAAGGTTTTTCTTATAACTTACCCCAAATGCTGAAAATGCGCTTCAAAATCAACTCAGTGAAAACATTTGCATTGGGCACTACATATACAACCTTCTAATTGTTCCCACTAAAATGATCTAAAAATGAAAATGTGATTGTAGAACATAACCCTATTTGCCATTCACAGGTAGTATCAGAAGACCGTTCTTGACCTTAATTCGCTTAGTGATACGAATAAATGTTTTTGTTGTTGCTAAATATTTGTAACTGTTAACGCTCTGTCTGCAAAAATCAAAGGCTTAAGTATTATCTATTCTTCTTGATAGATGTTATTTATAAGATGTAATAGTGTCCATTGGCATAGTGGCTATGCTGAAAGCCCACCTACTTCTCATTTAATGACTCATTTTGACCTGAGGAATTCAGACATTTAGTTTGTTAGGGAACACATACAGGTAGAACCTAGATAGACAAATCAGATGAATGTGATAAAGCATTCAGTTCAACAGATTATCGCCATTGATTATATTATACTATATGCGTATAGCATATATGAGATCCTATGCTTAAAGTTGAGTGATTGAAATGAAAATAATCCATGGTTTCTTTCTAAAGGAGTTTCTGGTGAGGTAATAGATGCATGTTCTTGTTGCTCTGGGAGCGCAGGACTGGGGCATTGAACTGATGCTGGAAGTTGATGGATTTTTTTCTAGGTATACCTAAACATATCAAGGATGAGATGAATTGTTAACCAGTTGAAGTGGGTTGGAATGAAAATGGGAGGAAAAGACACAGGAAGAGAAGAAGATGTATGTTTTAGAGAGTGTCATATCAGGCTGCTATAACAAAATATTGTAAACTGGGTGGCTTAAGCAACAGAAGTTTGTTTGCCTTTAGTTCTGGGCAATTAAAAGTATAAAATCAGGGTGCCAGCATGGATGTGGTGTGGCGAGGGGGTTCTTCCTGGCTTTTTTCTAGATGGTTACCTACCCTCTGAGGGAGAGGGAAATAAAATTATTTGGTGTCTCCTCCTGTAAGGACACTGATCTCACCAGGTCAGGTCCCTAACTTTATGACTTACCTCCCAAAGGATACATCTTCAGATACCCTTTGGGAGGTAAGGGACTGCAGCATATGAATTCTAAAGGGACAGAGACGTTCAGTCCACAACAGGGAGCAACATGAGCAAAAGTGTACATGACATGGTGGAGAAAAAGAGAAACAGAAAAGGGCAAGGACCAGATTGTTGAATTTTTATGTTGTGAAGACACCTTGGACTTGATCTTCTCTGTTGTTTCACAAACGTATTTAATTTGCCAGGAGTTACAAGAAACCACAGGCCAAAAGCACAGTGTATTTTTATGGAGTATCAGTTTTACTCAATTAAAAAAAATTCCCAAGTAGTCTTCCAGTTTATATTCCCACCAGTGGTGGAAATTTTCATGAACACTTGGTATTGTGCATTTTCTTTTTTGATTTAGTCCTTAGATGAAAGTAATATTTTACTGTGATTTTTAGTGTGCACACACGCGCACACACACCCACACATATTTTTTTTGAGACAAAATCTCACTGTGTCACCCATGTTGGAGTGCAGTGGTGCAATCTGGGCTCACTGTAACCTCTGCCTCCCTGGCTGAGCGATTCTTCTGCCTTAGTTTCCCTAGTAGCTAGGATTATATGCATGTGCCACCACACCTGGCTACTGTTTGTATTTTTAGTAGAGACAGGGTTTCACCATGTTGACCAGGCTCATCTTGCACACCTGACCTCAACTGATCCACCCACCTCAACCTCCCAAAGTGCTGGGATTACAGGCATAAGCCACCTCGCCCAGCCTTACCTTATATTTTTCTTGGTTACGATATTGAGCAACATTTTCCTATGCTTATTGACTGTTTACTGATTGCTGTTTGCTAAATACCTGTTAAGTCTTTTACACATCTTATGTTGAGCTATGTTACTCATTTACAGATGTTTTTTTTTTTTTTATTTCGAAAATAAGCCCTTTATTGGAAATATGCATTACAGCTGTCTTCTCTTACCCTGAGGTTTACCTTTTCACTTTCTTAATGATGTCTTTTGCCAAACAAACGTTCGTAATTTTAATGAAAGAGCAGTTCAGCAATCTTTTCCTTTATGGTTGGTGCTTTTCTGTCTTAAGAACTCCCGTAAGTACCCACCAAATCATAAAGATATTCTTCTGTGTTATCTTTTAGAAGCCTTATTGTTTTTGCATTCACATTTGATTTTTCAGTGAGGAGAAATTAGGAGGCCAAGGCTTGTTTTATTTATTATATTTTTTTCTTTATTTTTTTATAGCCAATTGCTGCAACATCATCTAGTAAAAAGTCTGTCCTTCTGAAACTACTGCATTGTGTTTTTAGCTTTGTCATGTGATTATGTATGTATGTTAGTCCATTTTCAAACTACAGATAAAGACAAGACTGGGTAATTTATAAAGAAAAAGGGGTTTAATGGACTGACAATTCCACATGGCTAGGGAGGCCTTACTATCATGGCAGAAGGTGAAAGGCATGTCTTACATGGTGGCAGACAAGAGAGAATGAAAGCCAAGAGACAGGATACCCCTTATAAAACCATCAGATCTTTGAGACTTACTCACTACCATGAGACCAGTATGGGGGAACTGGCCCCATGATTCAATTATGTCCCACTGGGTCCCTCAGACAACACTTGGGAATTATGGTAGCTACTATTCAAGATGAGATTTGAGTAGGCACACAGTGGTACCGTTTCAATGTATCTATATGTTAGTGATCTCTGTTCTTTTCCCTTGGCCTGTTTGTTTTTCTGCAGTGCCCTGCTGTTTTCATTACTGTGGCTTTATAACAAGTTTGATCTGGGAGTTATACCTTCCAACTTTGCCCTTTAAGATTTTCTTTGTTGTTCTTGACCGATATAAATTTTGTTCAGTTTATCAGTGTCCACAGAATACCTTCCTGATCGCAATTGTATTGCATTCTTAAATTAATATGCTAGAAATTGAGATCTCTATGACATTGAATCTTCTAATCCATGAAATGGTGTATACTTCCATTTATTTAGTTTTCCTTAGATTTTTCTAAACAATTATTTGTGGTTTTCTATTTGGAAATTTTTCATATCTTTTGTTATGTTCATTCTTATATTTGATTTTTTGTTATTGTAAGCATATTTTACATATTACCCTTATATCCAGATACACTATTAAATAATGCTTCAATCTGTTGATTATTTGGATGTTGATTTCTTACCTTATTGCACTGGCTAAGAGTTATAATGCAAGGGGACATCACAGGCATTCTTGTTTTTCCCTGATCTCACAGGAAAGCTTTTTAATATCTATCATTAATTATGATGTGTTTACTATATGTTTTTATAGATCTCTTGAACAGATTAAAGATAATCTTGTATTCCTACAGAACTAAGTTTTTGTTACATGCTTTTTCTGCAGTAATTGAGGTGATTCTATTTTTTTCTTCCTTTATTCTGTTTGTTAAATTGCAGTCATTGGTTTGCAACCTTGCAATCTTAGAATAAACTAATTCGGGTTGCCATGTGATATAGTCATTATACATACACATACATATAGGCGTATACATCCTGCATACATACCATTGGATTTGTCAGTATTTCATCTTGGATTTTTATGTCTATGCTTATGAAAGAGATCAACATAATTTTCCTTTCTCATAATATTTTTATCAGGTGTTGCTATCAGGGTATGTTAGCTTCATAAAATAAGTTGAACAGTATTTCTTTTCACATGTATGGAAGAGTTTAAGATTGGTCGTTATTTCTTTCTTAAACGTTTGGTAGAATTCCCTAGTGAAGCCATCTGGGCTTAGATTTTTTTTTTTTTTTTTTTGGATGGTTTTGAATTACAGAATCAATTTCCTTAACAGACATAGGACTGTTCACAATTCCTAATTCCTTTTGTGTCAGCTGTGACAAGTTACAGTTTACAGTAACTTTGTCTATTTCATCCAGATTTTCAAGTTTATTGGCATAAATATATCCCATTTTTCATTGCAGATATTGAAAATATGTGCCTTCTCTCCTTTGATTATTCTTGCTTAGAGGTTTATCATTTTTAGCCTTTTCGAAGACGGCTTTTGGATTTTTTATGTCTTTAAATGTTTGTTTTTATTTCATTAATTTCTGCTTCTGACTTCTGTTTGCCTACACCATTAGGTTTTAGCTTTGCTCTTCCTGGTTTTATATTCTTGTAAAAGCTGAGTTTCTTGATTTTTTTTTTCAGCTTTTTTCCTCTTTTTCTGTCTTTTTCTAACATACATATTTAAGGCTATAAATTTTCATTTAAGTGCTCCTCTATCCACAATTTACAGGATTTTCTAGTTTGTTCATTTTTAATGGAAAATTTGAGACATACCAGAGATAGAATGAATAAAGGAGTAAACTACCATATGCTACTCTGCTTCCAACACCTATCATTGGCAAAATGATGATATGCCCTGTTTTTACCATTATTCAGAAATGGGTTGTTTCATTTCTAAATATTTGGGATTTTCTAATTTTCTCTTTAATGTTACAAATAAAGATGATTTTAT